TGTGTGTGTGTGTGTGTGTGTGTGTGTGTGTGTGTGTGTATATGCATATATGTGTGTGAAAGCTTTGCCTCCTGGTTTCACACAAACGCATCTGTATACCACGAATGTCCCAGCTACCTCTCGGGAAGGAGTAGGTTATGCCTGAAGGTAAAACGTCTCCTTTCTGTTGCTGGCTGTGATAAGCTAAAACAACAACCTGGGTGATGCCAGCTGTCTGTGTATTTTGCTCAAGGACACTTTAGTAGGGAGAACTTTGGCATGATATGGAGCTTGAATTCAAATGTCATGGAAGAGGGTAAATAATGCCCCACGATGCCATAGTGAACAGTAAATAAATAAACAAGGTAATGGAATATATGGTTGATGTAAATGCAGCACAATATTTTATTTAATAAAATCTCAGTGAAAATTTAAATTGACAACTTTATTCATAAATTATTTTCTGCAAGGTAAAAAGTTACACCCACAAATGCAGAGGTAGGTGGTAAGCTATTATCCCTGTGAATAGCTCTGACTTATTTAGGGTGCAGATTGAGTGGTTAAGAATGTGATGGGAATTTGACAATGCTCCAAAAGCATATACAGTTACTGTCTGACGTGTGTGTGTGTGTTTGTGTGCACATATGTATGTGTGTGTGTGTGTGTTAGGGATGGACACATGGAGGGCCTGTCACCACACACTGATGTGTTTATTTCACTGCAGCTGGGGTAATCACTCACACTGAGACAGACGCAGACAGGCAAACACACAAATATTCACACACACACACTAATTCATATCCCCACCTGCTATGTGCAGTCAACTGGCTTTGCCTGGCCTTTGGGGTCACTCCAACCCTTTCATGTTTCAAGACAACGACCTCTGCGAAAAACCTTTGTATGAACCACTCAGTGCCTCAGGTTTTTATTTGAAATAGCTGCTTAATTTCACCAGCAAGAAACTTTGCTGATGACTCCACGCTCTAGTTTTAGATACAGAAAAATGTGAATTACACTGGAAGCGCTTTTCATTGAACCTTGTGCTGCACCTGTTACGATTTTCCTGAATTTACTGTCTGTGTCCGTAAAGCCTTTCCTGTTGAACTGCTGAACCCTCCTCGCTGATTCCAGTAGCTTTCCATCAGCTTTTAAAGGCTTTCTATCACAGTCTAAAGAGATTTAGATGTGTCTCAAGGAATTCACAATGCTTCAAATGGGAGCTTTAGAGTGAAAGAGAGGAGAAAAAAACATGTAGAGGAGACTAACTGTTGACAAGAGCAGTACTGTCAGAGAAATGTGAAAAGGTTGTAATAGCGCAGCGGTGTACAGACATTTTCTTTCCACTCTCGGATTAGGTTGACCCTGACCTCTCAAGGCTAGCCGTCAGGCAGCAGTTAAAATGATCACTGGCTAATCTCTTTCTTCGTATATGTCCCATAATACTTTGTGTGTGTGCATTCCAATGCTGTATCTGCACACATATTTGTCCTAATGTTTAGGTAACTCTCTATATAATCATGTACTGACTTGATGAATATTAATGTTAAATTTGAGTTTATTTTGAGCGGGGGAAGGTCAAGGAGTCGGGTCCTGCATGTTGACAGCCATGCAATACCAGCTGGGCGTTAAAATGTGGCTATCACGTAACCCCGTCGCACTGACAACTTTACAGCAGTTGTCAACTTATATTAAAACATTTTTAGAGAGGTCACAGGACATCAGTAACAAGAACTGTCACTTAAAGGGAAAAAAATGTGGATGTATGTATATAAGAATTTGACAGGCAAAAGAGGACATGGCGAATGTGAATGGCAAAGAGGATACGAACAAAGACGAATAGAAAGTCAGAACAGATAAAAAAGATAAAAAAAGAAAGTCAGGGCTACAACCTGAGGTCATCAGCAGGTTTTAAACCTAAATCCTTCTAATCAGCTTCAGCAGACAGGGGAGACAGACCAATCCATTTGCTCCAAGATCCCATTATGACAGCAGAAAAAAAGAATGGGAAAAGGTAGCAAATTGAACACAGTGGAAAAATTGCTTCAAGAGTCCACGTGTGTGTATTGTGTGTGTGTGGCCATGAGATTTATGAGTGTATGTCTCTGTGCATGAATGTGTTGTGTTAGGTGTCAAAAGATAAAATGTGCTATGACATGCAGATAAGGTAGGGGTACTCGTGTGTCATTAGAGATGAGATTGGTTACCAAGAAGAAAGTTGTCAATGTTAATGTGCTGGTGTTGCTGTCAGCTACAATGAGTGGAAAGGGCCTTCATGTTTAAATGTCCTTTGTGGTTCCTACTGTTAAAGTGACAACTCAACAAATTTATTTTCTTGATTTCCCTCAAAAGAAGAATTACTCATTTCTAGGAGCAGAAGAATACGATCACTCTGTTTTTTTTTCTTTCTTCCATACCACTCATTTCTCTATCATTATCTCTCTTGACACCCGTCCTTCATCTCTGCCTTTCTGCCACACTCGCCCTCACTTTGTATGCTGGTCTGTCTAAGTGCCTCCCTCACTCCCTCTCCTTCAGTTTCTCTCTCAGGGGAGCTGTGTACTTAGCTGCAATTGAAAACGACTATCAAACCCCAAGGATTGAAACCTGATTCAGACACTCCTTATCCTGTACAACAGCCTTCTCCGAGTGCCGTGCTCCTCTTCCCCAGTGACCAACTAAATGAAATTATGTATTTATCCATTGAGGTGGGAACACAGCCAGATGAAACCAGGGAAGCAAAGAATGATGTGAATTGTAAATGGTGTTCTCCACTGTAGTTACAACGCTATGGTAGTGGAAGTGACATGTGTGGCTCTTCCAAAGTGGGTGTTTACTGTATGACACGTTTGATGAGTGAATAAATTACACATGTGCTGACAATATCCTCGAGTCTCACAATATTATCTCACATAGTAAAGGCAAGTAAGAGTATGTGTGTGTGTTAGCAATACAAGTATTCATAGAATAGCTGGTCTTGAGCACGGCAAGTGTTAAAGATCGTCTAATTTATTTGTTGTTTACTGAATCTGAATTTACTTTGGTCCAGGTTTCACTGCTATATACATTATACAGAACTGTGCAAAAGTCATGAGTCATCCTCCATTGAAAGTTGGGAACTTCAGGAATATTTCTCTGGAATTCATGAAGGACATTCAAAAGCTTTTCGTTGGGTGTTGGCAGTGTTTTGTTTTCTGGCTGTCCTACACTGCTTCAGTAATGTCAAGGTCCAGGCTTTGAGTGACAAAACAGCTAACGTCCAAAGAAAAATCTTTAAAAGACCTTCAGAAAGCCAAGAAAACTACTGCTAAAAAAAACCTGTATTGTATCTGTGCAAATAAAGGAATTCAGGCCATTTTTCAGTCTTTTTTTCCCCGCAGAACTCAAGTACAGTAAAAGAACGTGCAATAAAAATGCAAATGTACAGGAATACAGACTAAACCTCTGTATTCACTGGAGTTTTTTCACATCCTGTACTCAAACTGGCTCTCTGGGGACACTTAACTCTCAGCTTAAACTTTAGGTTTTGGGATTATTGTTACCTTGGCGTACCGGAAACTTGTCAGTTAAACTAGGATTTAGGCCGTTCTCCTGATTTCCCCTGTGGCAGTTCGACATGATAACGCAAAAAAATATCTTATACAAACATGTCGGATGACAAACACCAAATCATTTAATACTAAACGCTGCTTATTCACCATGCCAGTTGCAATGGAAGACATTTACAAATGAAAGCTATCTTGACCCCTGCTGTGTTTTGGAGATATTGAATCTTATAAATTTAGGCTTCGTAATAGTAAAAAAATATCAATTTAACAAAATGTGCCAAAAAGGCACAAGAAATTTTTATTCAGCACAGCCTTCAACCACCGACTGCAGACTGTGAAGGAGCACGCGCACCCATCAAACCACTCAGTTCTGCTGTCTGTCGTTCAAAGTTCCAGGCAATTTCAAGAAGTGTCACGTAAGTAATAACTGACTTTTCAGTGGCACTTTAAAGTTATTTCCACTTGATGATTTCTATTTTTATACCTTTTTACATCTATTGTTGTCTTCATTCTGTCATCCCCTCTCTTCAGTCACTTCCTTGTTCTGCTCTAGCAGTCCTCCTAATCTCACATCTTACTTAACATTCACTTCAGGTGGAAGTTAGCGATTACGCTGCACATACCTCAGCAGCTGGGATGCCCTCTGGAGGGCGACACTGTAACAGAACTTCCTGCTCCAGAGATACTTCTTTTCCCAGGGGTTCTTGTTCAAATGACTTCTTCAGGTCTGGGGAGAGAAACAAGAAACTTAATGCCTAGGGGCAAATTATAATGTCAACCAGACATCATGCGAGGCCATCTGGCAAAAAAGCCTCCTCTGATTCAGCAGTTAGGGAGACCATTTTAGCGATAATGCTCTGTCAGTGTAAAGCAGGGACATTACTTAATTTTGACTTAATAATGACACAGTAATTATGAAGGTGGGGGTGTTTGAAGACAGCAAACATCAGCTGACTTCTCACACTCTTCAGTCCACAACAAGAAAAAAAACACTTAGTTACCTTAGTTTGCACAAGGATGCACAAAGCTAACCACACACTTACACACGCAACAAGTACAGTCACTGGTCCGAATACTTTCAAACGCTTTAGCTTCACACATTAAACCCAGTCTGCAATGCACAATGTTTAACATTGCTTTCCTCCCATACAGATTTCTGAAAGCTGAGGAATCTCCAACAGGCCAAAGACAATAAATGATTCAAGCTAATGGTTCACATGCCATTATAAATGACAGCATTACAAAGCAGCATGGAATGTGCTGCTGGTTCTTTCACTGAATGTTTCAGAAAGGACTGTGCCGTTTTCATTTTGAAGAAGGAAAAAAACCCAAAAAGCTCAGAGTAGATGACTTTAGGACAACGAACCAGGACAACAGAACTGTGGCAAAGGGGACGGTAGAGAAAATGCATCCTTTACATTAAACATTAAAAACACTAAAAGTTTATGTTTGATCTTTTTTATGGTCTCGCATTTCTTACAGTGAGTTACACAATTTTATGAACTTTCAGACAATCTCACTGCTCTGGGAAACCCAACACTAGTTTTTCTATATTGGTCTGTGTGTGTGTGTGTTTTTTTTTTTAATTGAACATTGCCCTCTGATTCGTTTCATGTATTGGAAGTACAGTTTGCCTTTCTGCTCACCTCCCTAGTCTGCTGCCTTATGATATACTGCAATCGTGTATCCCTTTCCCGAAGTTGAGCTCAACACATGTAAAAATAATTAGCCTGCCACAGAAAACGGCTCATAAAGGCACGCTGTAACACGAGATAGATGGCAGCATTGCAGGACTTAGCAGGTCACTTTATTTATGGTGCTGATCAAATGCAGTGGATTTCTCCATACGAATGTATGGAGTTGGTGTGGGAGTATGAGGCAAGAGACCACTAATTTTTCCATCTAGTCTTTTGGATGTGCAGTAACTTCTAAAGTGTGTAATATGGCAACATCAATGTGCTTTTTTTCTCCTGCAAATTACTTTTTAAATAAAGTACTTACATTCACATCTCTTTAGTGCAAATAAAAGCAAGATTTGTAACTGGATGATAATCTAAATAATTGAAATAATTTCAGCAAGTCAGAGTGATGGATTATTTTGTTGCATACCTTAAGAAAATGGAGTGAGAAATGTAATGTTGGTGTTTTAATAATATTTTAAATACTACTAACATGGCTTCATTTAGCTGTGGCAAGCTGGTAAAAACCTTTTCTTTAACTTTCAAAAGTTTGAGAGTCACTTTGTTGGTTGGGGGAAAAAGACTTGCAGTTAATATGTCCTCTGCCCTTAGTTTTTTAAAACCATACAGAGAACTTTCATAGGACGGAGCAGTGTGTGTGTGTGTGTGTGTGTGCGTGCGTGTGTGTCCATGTTGTATGTACGTCTATGTGTGTTAACCTTGAATACTTTTGCTTTCCTGGTTCCCAGGTGTACTCTTAATCACCTTATCCGTCAGCAGTGGTACACCATTTGTGGACACACACAGCCACACACTAGACAGGACATTTTTTTAATGCTGAACCAATCGACTCTGAGTCACTCTCTGGGTATTTCATCAGAGCATTCACCTTACAGTAGCTAAAAAGACATGGAAGGTGGAGGAGTGAAAGAGAAGGCAAAATGGGAAGGGGAGAAAGGGAAGGTGGAAGTTGGGATGGCAGGTGGGAGCTGAAAGATGAGAGCCAAAAAAGTTGGCAGCAATAGCAAGACTGTCCCTTTTTTTAAACACCAAAACCATCTGCTTGGTCTGAAGTCTTTTTCATGTCCACGTTGCCTTAATTAACTCATCCAATAAAAATGAAACCACCCTGTATAGTCTTCATTTGTGTCCTTTATTTCTCACAAAATCAGTAATCCACCAAACCTCCTTATCATCAGTCCAACATTGACTATGTCTCTGTTCTCATGACTCAAACATGTCTTTAAAAGAAAATGAATGGGAGCAAGCCTTTTTAACTCTTAGGTGAGCCTTAAAAATCTCAACTCTTTTAACCCTAAGAACGAAAAATGCCAACTTTTCAAAGACTTCTTTAAACATATTATATAGTCATATTTTTTTCACTTTAAATGACTCAGTCTTTTAAAACTGCTTCAGCCTGAAATATACATTGATACATCTATCAGCACCAGCACATAGCTGGTGGCATGGTGCGCAAGTCCTGGGATCAAACCTCTGGCTGCTGGGACATAACAGTGCATTCCAGTCTTTGTGGGAGACCAAAATATGGGGATGACAAAAAAAATGGAGAAGGAGAAGTCCGCTCTGTCACTACTTCAACCATCTCCTCTCCACTCTCAGCATCAGATGAGTCAGAGTTGGACTCCGGCTGGTCTGATTCTACCTCTGAAACCTCCTCGCCATCTTTATATGTAAAGATGGCGTCTCATGTCCAGAGCCTCCAGTGTGCTGCACAGTTTTACCAAATCCCAAAAAAACTCATACTTCTAACCATGGCTGCATAAATCACCTGAGCAATAATACCATCAACAATCATGTCAAGATGTGGGATCAAAAATTGCATGACTTGTAATGATTTTCAATGGGGCATTTTTTGGCCTCAGGATAAAATGTGGCTGTTTTTTTTACAGCCATTTTAAGCTAATTTAAGGAACAGACAAAACAGTTGTGAATTTTTTTTAAATTAATGTCCTCTGGCAAATATAAGCTATATTCATTCCGCGGCCAAAGCATGAAAATAAAAAATACAAAAAAACGAAATGGCACAAAATGTCCCCTCTAAGAGTTAAAGTACTTGTTTATCATTTTTGATCTCTTGAATTCAGAATCATTAATCCTTCTCGTCTGTATTCATATAAAGCCAAGTGTTTGAGCATGAGACCAGGGTGCTGATCAAACTGTGTTTAGCCCATTAGTTACGTGAGGAATGAAAGGACAAGTTTCATATGCTGTTCTCACACTTTCTCTCTCACAAACACATACACCTTTTTTTGATATGAAAAAATAAATAGAAATACAGTATATAATGCAGAAAAAGACTTTGTACAATTCTAACGAACTTGAACGTCCACATTTGGTATGACCACTTTTATTCTTCAACTGAGCCTGAGGAAAGCTTTCGTGTAATTTATTTAAGTACAGTCTTCAGGAATAGTTCTCCAGGCTTCTTGAATGACATTAAAAGCTCTTTTTTAGATGTTGGATGCCTTTTGTTCAATTCTCTGTCAAGATGATCACACACTGCTTCAATAATGTTGAGGTCTGGGCTCTGGGGAAGCCAATTCATGACTGACTCTATTCCACTGTGTGCTTTTCTATCCAGGTATGCTTTCACTGCAGTGGCACTGTGTTTTGAGATCATTGTCATGCTGAAAAATGGAGCTGTTGCCAATCAGACACTTTCCAGATGGTACTGCATGGTGGATCAAAATCTAACCAAACTTTTTTGTGTTTAAAGTTCCACCAATTTGGACAAGACCCCCAGTACGACTGATTTTCAGTGCAGTTCTTCAGCCTTTTTTCTTTGTTTCTCTTCTTGAACCCCACCCTTCCGATTCTGATGAGCCTTCAGCAAATACTAGATCAACACAACGGAAGGGTCAGATACATCGCCCAGGTCCTGTGGCAGGTCAGTCATTCAAGTCCAAATATATGAACAAGGCATTAGCGGTGAACATGCTATTACTCCGATGTACACTAATATAGGTAGTAACCTATAACTATGTGATTTTATCCCAACCACACAGTGAGGTTTACTTTCATGTGATATGAATCAAATCAGATTTCATGCTTAGAGTCATATCAGTGAAGAGAGTTATGTGAGGACACAGAGTATTGTTGGGGCTGAATGATAACTTCACAATACAGTCAAGTCCCTGTGGGGGATGACAGCCTGAACAGAGCATGATGGTTCATTATGGGAGTAATCACCCAAAGCTTTAGCCCTAAATCCACCACATGGCTACCCACACAACACAGACACACACGTAGAGGAACAAATAGTGAAAGACAAAGAAAGACAGAGGCACAGAGATACTATGGCAAATAATAGACACTGGAGACAAGGACAAACAAGCTGGCACAGCACACATGCAGACAGGACAACAGCACACATGGTATGATGTTCACAGTGGTGCAAATAAATAAATAAATACATTTCATACGTGCCTTCAAATGTGCAAAAAAATAAATAAATAAATAAAACTACTGTAGACATAAGAAGAAAAAAGGGGAAGTGATTGAGGCATGAGACACTTCTTTTATGCCAGGCAATTCCAGGAACAATTTCCTAGTCTTAATTAGTAAGGGAGATGGTGAAATGAGGAGTTGGCTGTGAGTTGATTTCCATAAAGATTGAGAATGAAATTAAAGCAGATTAAAGCAAACTGCTTTGGGGGATGAATAGACACACACACACACACATTTACACACATTGATAACTTATGGCTGACAAATTGTCACCAGTTTGGTAGCAAGAGCACATGTTTATTTGAAAGGTGGGATTTTTCTTTGTTTGTGTGTTTTTTTTAATTTAATTATTTTTTTTGCTTTGGTTTAAGTGTCTGTGACATTGTGTCTGTGACACTGGGGGCCACAGATGTGTGTTGCTGTGCACACATGTGCCCAAGGAAAATTACTGCATGCACAAAACAGGAGGTATAGCTGAATCATTTCACTGAACCCAGTTCACTCATTCATAAATATAACAAAACCATGGCTACATTCTTGAGAGACCTTTTTAGATTTACAGCAGAGTTGAGAAGCAGAG